TTGGGAAGGGTGAACTTTGGAGGGGGAACTTGGGAGGGGGAAACACTGTCAAGGTGTTTCTCCAACCAGCCTGTCAAATTGTCAATATATGACGACACAACTAGGAATGACAAGTGTCAGATGTAAGAGGTTTCTATTCTCGTCATTCAATCGCAAAATTAAAAATAGCCTGGGAAGTTCACGAATGAACACTAATTCATAATGTATGAGTTGAGGCATTTCCGCTGGACTGACAAAGCAGACTCTTCAAATAGTTTTATTGATGTAGAAAGGAAGACGTCAAGCCTCTTTCACATAGAAAAAACCTCACCATGTCTTCTTATTTTTTGTTTTAAAAATAAACAATTAGAAGATATTTTTTTTTTTTAAATAAATAAAAAAATAAAAAATAAAAAATAAGAACAAATAAAATGGCAAGGTGTGCTGTCTGTATCTCATGACACAAACAGGCACCCAATGCACATTAGTACTTAATTTCCATGCTTAAAATGTAATGCCTGACCCCCCCCCCCCCCCCCTCCCCCTGGCCCGTTTTATTAAACTTTTTATCGATAACAACTGCCACAGATCTGTGATAAATCTGCTCATAGCTAACTGAGTGCATCGATTTCAGTTGCTGATAACAGTTATCGTAACTTGTTACTGATAACAAGTTTAATGAAACGGGGCCCAGAAATTTTTAGAATGTATTCAGGGGCCCGATGCGCACAAACCCCTCAAATGGACCAGTACACCTCATGAAAGTTCTAGTGTGGAGCCGTGGCCATCGATGTTTGTGCACTTACTATTTTTCTCCCCTTTTTGCCATTCATTTAATGACTGAAATGGTTTGTCTGATTGGTAGTATAACTTTAAAAATGAATACTTTCTTTACATTTTGTAGAATGTAAAGTGGATTTTTCGTTAGCAGTTTTGGGTAGTAGTTATTTAGACAGGTGTGCCGCAACGTATGAATAAGGCTTTAAAAGTGATGTTAATGAAACCGGTTAATTGAGAATTAATGATTTATGGAACTTTCTGTCTAGATCTCTCATCCAGTTTTGAAAGGGTCTGTCAGTTCTTGTCGCTATAACAAAGGTAATGAAGATATTCAATGTGTTAATTTAGTTTTCCTTCTTTCCTTTCTATGATCAACATGGATCTTTGTTTCGCTCAGATGTCAAATAAAGGCTCAGATATAGTTAACGAACAGAAATAGGAAACAAAACATGGATACATGATGACTAAATGAAATTATTGTGAATTTTTATGAATATCTATTAGTGTACTTAATTTTTGCTTTACCCCCCCCCCCCTCTTTTTTTCTTCTCTCTCTCTCTCTCTCTCTCTCTCTCTCTCTCTCTCTTTTTCAGAAGTATGAGTAGAAGATTGAATTAGGTAACAACTGTAATGCAATTGATTTTTGAAGTATTCTTTCCCCATGTGATAATATTCTGCCCCTTATGTCAAAACTGCATAATCATTACATTACCATATGTGTTACTTTTAGAAAATGCAAGTATTGCTTGTAATTTCATTTAAAGTGAGGTACTTTCGGATGCCGTGACAGTCACCAGTTCAATTGCAACTCTTTTAAGTCCTTACTTCTTAGAAAGTTAGAATGAGGAAGTTTGTGATATCCTCAGAACAATAGAATAGGCGAAACAACCCCAATTGTAACTTCCCCTAAACAAAACAGTCTTTGAGTCCCATCAAATTCCCACTTCCTCCCCGTCCCTCTGGCTAATCCTCTCTGTTTACACACCCCTCTGCTGAATGTAGCAGTCCGGAGGTAGAAGGGATGACTGTCCACACACAGTAGGAAGCTGAATACAATTATGCAAATGAGGTGCAAACTCTACCATGTGGCGATTCTGAATGTGTGATGGGGGTGAACCGTGCTGCAGAGTGGAACACAAAGGACAGAGAAAGAGCCGGCCTTGTGACATCACCCAACCCTGAGTCTCTGTATGAGGTCACATACAGGAGTCTCTTTTTCTTTCTTCAGCCTTCTGCAGTCTGTTATAAAACCAGATGCCAACTCACAAGCTTATTCAGATAATCAAGTGAACTCTTAATGTGGATACATCCCTTTTTTCATGCTGCAGAGCTTTTCCCATTTTTGTTGTTGTGCATCAACATTTTCAGTGTGTGTGCTTGCCGGTTAACAGCTGATAGAAGCACAGAATCTCTTTGTTTCCAACTGTGCCGCATACCATTTGGATCTACATCTTTGTGAATACTCTAATTTGGATATAAAGCCTTTATTTTCATGTTCCTTCACTCTCATATGTAAGTATAAATTATCATTACTATTCCATCAACCTTACTGGACATTTACAACAGGATTCAGAACAATTTAGATTCATTTGATAGAGAAAGAACATTCCTCCTTTTTTTTTTCATGCCCCAAACTAGAGACCATATATGTGCGTACGTGGGTCGGGCATCCACACACACACAAGTCGACGATGCAGGAATATATTATCTCCATTCACTGCAAAATGTAGATTGCTGGCTAGTGCTTATGTACATATACACAGTGAGTGGAGATCATTTTCTTGTTGTTGTTTGCAGATTGGCGTGCGAAGCTAATAGAAAGATAATAAAGTTCTTTGTTGCTGGCAGTTTTCCAGAATGCGGTCTTCCTTTTTAAACATCCGCCTGCAATTCATCAGTTTTCTCTGAATCGTGACGACATTAATGATAATAACGCATGTCATCCGTTTCTGGTTTAAATCTTAATCGCAGCAAATTGCAGTTTCATTCAACTTCAAGAGACATTAAGACAAGCACTTGAACAATATCCCATTTCGAAGGAGCAAAAGTTGACAACTAGGAAAAATATTACGTGTAGTGGAAGGTAACGGTGTTGATGATAGTTGAAACTGAAAGTTCACTGCATGAATCATTTTGAAAGTTGAGAGCAGGAATTAAGTTACAGAGCCGCTGTCACGCAATGGTCATATTTGTGAAGAAAAACAAAACAGGATAGAGTCGGGCAATCTTGTTAGTGCTAGCGATGTCAAAACTCGAAAGCCAGGATTTAAAACGAGATCTAGCATTTCCTCCTTTCTGTAGTACTACTACACTGTAGATGAGACAAAGAAAAGAAACTGGTGATTATCTTTTGATAAGACTTGGTGAGTTGAATGAAAATTAGTTGAAACTTGAAAGAAACTTAAAGTAGGTAATGATAGATAATAAAGAGCATATATAAATTTGATCGTAAAACAGACAAAGGGATTTTGTATGCTTGTATATAGAGATGATATGCTGCTGTACAGTTTCAGTTAGAAACCAGATGGATACAGACAAAAAATATATACTTGTTCTGGTTTGGCCATGGGAATCAAAAACCTAAAGTAAATAAATCTTTCCATGACATAGTCTAGACAATGGTCTCGTAATAAGACAGTCTGATATTTATAACTGTACTGAAAAAACCTAGAGTTTTTCTTGCAGGGTGTAATTTTGGCCATATGGGTAGTTTGTTAGAGATTGGGGAGGGGGAAGGGGGGGGGGTTGGGGGCATATCATCTGATTAGGGTTCATGTAGGGGTCACATGCCATGTGTGCAACGTAAGGCCAGCCATGTGCATTCAGCGATAATGTTAACGTGCATGTGATTGTGAATCTACAGCTTAAAATCTTAATACTGTACAATACACAGTCATAGGCCCTCTATCTTTCTCTTTGTCATCTCAATTTTCCTCTCCCTAAAGTTTGTCTTTTCTTCGCTGGTACCAGCCTCTCAATTTCTTGTCTCCTCCTCAATCCTCCTTTGTACTTTCATTGTTCATTCTTTCCCTTCATACCTCATTATTTTCAATTCTTTCCTTCTCTCTTTCTCTATCATCAATCTTTCTGTCTCTCTATCATCTATCTTTCTCTGAATGTATCTTCAATTCTCTCTCTTTCCCCTTCTGCTTCCTGTTTCACTCTTCTCTCTTTTTCTATCCATCCCCCTTTCATTAATATCTCTCTTTGTCTGCATTTCCTGTGGCTGGTGAACCAGTTCCATGGAATTCACCCCACAGACTGGCAAACAGTGGCATTGGAATCGGGATGATTCATGCACTGGTTTCAGAGTATGGTCATTTAGGTTTGTTTTTTTAACAAAATGTTAAGTCATGTGGTGCTGCAAATAAGTGTCATCTTAAAAGCCACATGATGTTGAGTTTTTTTTTTGTATTAACACTAAAGCCTTTTTCTTTCACTCCTACACAATTAGCTACCCCACAGGAACTAATTTGGGTGTGCCAAAGTCCAAATTTCCTATCTTTCTTTTGTTCGTGGTTAATTACTCACAAGCTTTCACTTTAGGAAATAATGGAAGAGTTTGGTTAGTATGTTTGCGATGAATACAGAGCAAATCTATATATTCTTTGTCTTCTATTTCCAACAAAGGGGCTTTTTTAAAATATAATATGTTATGAACAAGGTTCAATACAGTGTATTGTCTGTTGAGGAGCATACGCAAATGGAGAGGAAAAAAAGTCAGAATGAAAAACAAAAGAGGGATAATATGTTCAAAAGCACAATGGTGTGTGAAATATGATTTCATATTATTGGTGATTTTTATGACAATTTTAAACTAGTTCAATACAAATTTTAACAAAATAATCATGTGTATACCTTGTACTACATTATAATGTACACAAGCATGGGTGGGAAGAGGGCCATGTGCCGGCACACAGAGAACTTGAGAGAACAAAGCATTCAAACAGTAAGACCTGTGTTTGTAACTCTGTATGTATCTCCCTCCCTCTTTTCTTGTACCTTCCTGCCAATAATTTCAGAGTTAATACCTCCACCCCTTTGTGTAGAGGTCACTTTGTTATTTGTGGTTTTAGCCCCTTGTGTGTTTACGGGTAGAGATCATGAGGCTAATAGACGGTCACTGCCCCAGTCAACAACTCCCATCTTAACCCTGTCCCTACTGCTTTCCATTGTGCCAAGTATAAGTACAAGAGTCGTTGAATCAATTGGCATTGGAGGTGTTAAATGGAATCGTTTATTGGAAAAGGGCTGACTGTTGTGGTTTAGAGTTTGGAGATGATCTGAAAGCTATTGTTCAGGAAACACGAGGAGATTAGAAGAACATCTGTTTGGAACAATCAAAACTGACAAAAGGAAAATACATGTACATGTAACTGAATTTTTGGTTAGATCAGGGAACTGTAGACCCTGCCTAGGTCACTAGTATGGCCATGCTTTGATAGACTGCATCATGATTTGCATGTGAAAGAGAAATAAAAGAATCATCTTCCTGGCAGTTGTACAATGTTTTTTTCGTCTATCAGCATTAATCCCCTCTGAAGGCTACACCGTGTCTCATCTGTCTCATGGAAAAATGCATGTACCTGTGACAAAACGTGATCTCGTGATGTCTAGGGAAAACAAAGCTAGGTCATTATGTTTTCGAGCCTGGAAATAGATCATAAGCCCACTTCATGGGCGACCAAAGGCATTAGTGGGCCGACATGTATCTTATCTTTCATTGCGCACAAAGGCTGATGTGCCTGTGTACATGTACCTGTGTTTTGCAGTCATTGAACTCGAGTACACATACAGTACCAGTATCATTATCAAGATCAAGTGCGGATTAGAACTGTTTTTGAAAAGGTTTGTCCTTTGTTGAAGGCCTCTTTTGTGGCCAGAGCAACAGCAAAGTCAACAGTCGTTGAAGATACTGGTTTGATCATTCTTTACACATGATATCTAATGGATGCAACGTCCGTGATCAGTTAAGTCACTTTATTGAACACAAAATGTTAGCCAACAGTTGTACGTTTTCCTCGCAAAGAGTGAACAGTGGATTGTCAACATAAGGTGCGTAGGTCGTCGGGTCTTTCTTCATCAAATCTATCTGGTTGACAACGTAAGTAAATTCATTGAAATAATTTATTGTTACATTTCACCTCGCTGACTCAAATGAGTTCTTAGAACGATGCCTCACAAAGGAGAACTCAAATGCCATGCCTTAATGCATTCTTTGCTCTAGCTGTTGATGTCTCGCTATTGTTTGTGAGGACCGATTCCTCTCGTGAACCCTCCGCACCGAAAGGTGTGTACCCCCACGGTCTGGTGACGTCAGCGGTGAGTTTCTCTGAATCATTGATTTGCTTTCCTCCACGAAAAACACGGCAGCGCGGAGTCTAATCAAATAAACACATGCAGGAAAAGTCTAGGAAATGGATATGAATTTCGACCACTTACAGTGAAACAATTCAGATCACAGTGCCTGATTAGTATGATAAGTGGTATATAATTGGGTGGCAGGATGTGATTTTGTCGAATATTATTGGAAGGGTCATGGTAAGAGTTTGATAAACTCAAAATGGGTCTGCTTCTTGAGACTAACTGCAAAACACACTGCAGGCGAAGGGAGAAAGAGAAGAAATCTGGATCGATCCATTCATGTCAGTGGGTGGGGGTAGGTTATTACTCACGGCAGAAAAATTCATGATTGATTACTAATCAACCCAAAGGTGTAGTGCTTTATCTGATGTAATAATTAAAATGTGATGACACCAAATTCCAGATGATTTAACAAGCGTGGGAGTCCCCTGTAATAATATGTCTAATTGATATAGTGGTTAGATTAGTGTGGTAATGGTACAATGGATATCTACGTTGTCTTGCGTGTCTGTATTTGGCCCTGGTGTAAATGGTTGGTACAGTACGTCTGCATTGTCTGGTCAGTGACAGCTGTTTGGTTTAGATTCTGGGAAGCGCTCTCTGTGACGTAAAGATGGATCTCTCGGAATCGCCCTCTTCAAGAGGATGATGATGTCATCCTCATCATCATCATCATCAGTGGTGGGTCTACTCTTCGCTAGGGTAACCCCATTTATTTCTATCAGGTAGCTAACATCATCATATGAGTCAAGCACTTTCAAGGACTCTCCATTGCTTTCTAGTGTTCCACATGAGCATGATTCATTGCAGGATTTAGGCCAAAATGAAGGGTGTACTCCCCTTCCATATGCCAGTATAATGGACATTACCACCGCACAGTTTCTACCTCTACGCAGTTCACCGTCTCCTAGCGAACAATTGGGAGTATTATTGAATGCAGGTCACAGAGAGGTCACATACATCATGTAGCCCAAGAAGAGAAGGGACTCCAATTGTAAGTCAGTTTCTGTGGGGTTGTGGGACCTTCACAGTTTTTGTTTGAGTTAAGCGATTGGCAAAAGGATAAAAGCTAACCACATTGATAAGCTCAACTGCAGATATATATGTAACCTCAAGAATGTTGGTTAGATCTTTGTGTTCCATCTTTCATTTTTACTTCTCTGTATTTATTCTTTTTCCACTATATCTGCCTTCTTCCTGAACTTTCTATCAGCTTGCATCCTTTGTCTAGTACCACATGCTTGTTGACAACCAAAGCATGGAGCATTCCTCTGTTTCTTTCTTTGAGGGTATTTGTTAGGTTTCTCCGTAAACCAGACTACAACCAATCCACCCACAAATGTGTCCCTTTCTTAAACTCTTTCCTTTCGTCCTTTCTTCTATCAATCACCTTTCTCCCACTCTTTCTACACGCCTTAGCTTTTCAGTCTTTTTTGTTGTAAAAATGATATTCTATTTCATTTTCATATCTTTGATCCATCGGTAACTTCCTACATTATTCTTCCAATTACAATGACGTCCAACGAACAGGAAAGTCACCGAGCAACCAGCAACTTCGCGGCCGCCCACATTTTTGCATTCCATACAAATTACTTCCTATTCTCTCTCTCACCTACAATGCCTTAAGCAGAAATCATAGAGTAGTGTATTCTATTTCATTTTCATATCTCTCTGAAAGGTGAAAACTTCCGCTTTTCTGCGTCAACTTCCAATCGTCGAAGGTCAAGTCAGTCAATGGATGATCATGCCTTTGTCCTCTTCACTTCCTGTGTCATGTAACAGTATAAGATGATTTCCTTTGTGCTTTTACCTTGAATTATTATAGGGAAGTCTCCTAGCCTAAAGGAAGGTCGTAAGATGTTCTTGAATTCTGATCATGATGTAATTTTAAAGTAAAATTTGTACGTAATTTACACCGAGTGTTCAAGACAGGAAAGAAATGATGCCTGTCAGACTATTCTTGATTATCTGTTTGAATATTATAAGTAATATAACAAAAACAAAAATTTACAAACCCAATGAATTATATAGTCTCATACTGTATGTGCATACTTGTGTCACCAGTTTTCAGTGTACAGTTTGCTGATCTAAGTAGTTATTTTCCATAATGAAATGAACAATACATTTTAGATCAGATTTTCCTTGGAATACATATTGTAATACAAATTCAAGCTATCTTTGAACTTAAAATAAAAACCACCAAATTACTATGCTTAGAAGACACCATACACCAGACAGGAAAACAGGTGTAACTCATCCCTTGAAAAGAGAGATGCAGAGGGAAATTTCCATCATTGTGTGTTGATGTGCTGTTTCTTCTGTCAAAAGTTTTGTGCTCTAGGAAAGGGTAGAAAGATGCCTATTAGTATTTTGGGGGGGAGCTCGTTTGTAATAATTTCTTTCTTTCGGATTGGAGTACATTTTGATATTTTTGCACTTATGCTGTGCGAAGTGGGTAGCCACTTATAATTATGTAGCCGATACCCTTATCTTGAATAATCTGTGCATAGAGTTAATCACAGCACTTTATTATCATTTCCTTAGTTCCTTCCCCTCTACTTAAAACATAATCTCTGAATAAAGACTATAAAAAAGTAAAGGGTAAGATGATTAAGAATCAGTGCTACACTGCTACCAGTATAAGTTAACACTATAAGCTTTATCATAGTTTAGAGCCTTGCTATGCATGTGGATGCAAACAATACACAGCAGTCAATCCAACCCTCAACACATAATATTTTATATCCTCAATCCCACGTCATGATCGTCATCATACATGTAGAACAGTAACACAAATAGCGCTGTTAATTGGTTTGAACCGCCGTTTCCTGTAGACTCCCATCAATGTGCGTGATTCCCAAGCCGAGAATTCTTTCAGGCTAATGGGATGACAACGCAGTCGTTAGGACCATCCTGTTTGTTGCATGGCCATGCTTCAGGCCCTTCACTTGAGCTGGATGTTAAGAATCAATCTTCTATATTATATTTCCTCCTAATCCTTAAACCATTCATGCTCTTTATTTCAACTCGACCTGCTCCTGTATTCTTTCTATGTGGCTTGTTTCCTGGACTATGCCTGTACCTCTATGTAGTACTGTGTACATGTATTTCCCACATAAGGGCCATGTCTTATAAAGGGTTGCAATTGATAAAAAATTCCAAATCAATCGTGATTCCTCCAATCAATCGCAAGTTTCATTCTCTGATCTACATAGTTGTGATTGATATCAATCACAAATAAGTCGTGATTAACATCAATTCTTCATAAGATGGGCTCAGTTAACAATGTGGCCTATGCATTGTTGCTGGTTTCATGAACCAATGAAAGGTCCTACAGGTTGAACTGCAACCACACGAGAAGCATCGGTTGGGGAAACCAGCAATGAAAGCTTGTCTACTGCTGAGAGCAAGAGTGGCACTTAGCAAATCATTCCTGAACAACTTATACCCCTTTTGGTTATTGGCATTCAATATCAATAATATGCAAATTTACCAAACAAAATACATAGATCAAAGAGCCTTGATCTCTCTGTATTCTCAATGATTATGAACCAAGCACTTGAGGCTTTCAGGCAGCTAAACAGTAGCTGTAGATAACCTTGATCGCAAGTCCCCATCTTGGCATTACTGTTTATTTTTTTTGCATACTCCCATGTACAAATGAATTAGTAGCTGTACTTTACGAGGGCATTGAATAAGAGGTCAGAATGAGCCCCTCCAATCCCATCCAGGAAAGTACAGTTTAAAGGCCTTGAAGGGCTTGAATATGTCACATTTACATGTACATATGTACCCTGCTCATTTTTGCAATATGACTAGATACACTGTATGTCTTGATCATTTGGAGCCCTTTATAATTGTCTTCCGAAAGGCTACACAATGCAATGCAGGTTCTTTGAAGAAGTTGGCAGTGAGTTCAGTTGTTTAGTTTCCTGTAACTTAATGCACCCTTGACAATCTAGCCTGGCTCTCAGGCTGTACAACTTTTTAGTACAGGTATGTTGATAATCTCCCTTAAAAGTAAAAATTAATTAATGTATAATGGAGTCTAGATACATATACCGGTACATGTAAATGTTGTAGACTATCACTCTTAATAATAGGCAATAAAGGAGCGCTTGTGTATTCTGTACCCTCGCAGCTGCTTTAGAAACATTTGTGCGTCAGGAAACTCAGGGATGGAAGAAAAATATCATTGTCTAGAAAAGCTGGAAGTCAGACTATATAGACAACCTTCACAGAATCCCATGGAGATTTTCGTAGCTGTCAAAACACATCCAAACAGACCTAGGATAGTCTCTGCATTCCAGTCTTTCAGACTACTTTCTATTATTCTATTCCATAATCGACTTGATTTTAACCTGATGTTACAAAATGTCAAAACTGGCATTGCTTGTGTAAGGTGTAAATCCTGTAGTACGGTACATACATGTTTATGAAGTTCTGTACACAATGCTGTTTGTGAATTTTTTGGCTGCTGTTAAGAAAGTGTTTGTGTGTTTGACAAGCTCAATGGCTATGGTTCCAACATTTATTTGGAAAGTGTTTGGATTCTAGTGGTTAGGAGTGACATTCAACAAAAACAGCTGTGCAAGTTTGAGTCGTCAAAACAGGAAAGCGAGTTCTTGATCACGCTCCCTAAATAAACCCAATGGTTGGAAATGAATATGTCTGTTTTTGCTCTGTGGCAAACGAAACCTCTACAGTTCCTTTCAATGTGCATGCAGGATTACTAAGTTCCCTTCGAACACTAAGCACCCCATTTCCTTTTTTTGTCTTCACAGATTGACTCAGCGCGTAGCGGGGATTTAAATGAGTGGGGAACGGACAGACGCAGGATTCTAAGGATTTAAACCTGACATATGAGCAGCCAGAGGATCGCTGCTGAACAGTGAGCTGTCGTCGTCGCTGCTAGTCTCATCTTCTGTCGTCGGCACGCCTACAGTGTGCCTCCTCGGCCAGGGATTTTCTAACTTTGGAGGTTTCGACGAATCGTGACAGAGACGGCGGTCTGATGCGCCAGGTAGCCAACACGGCGGGAAATTGCATGAGTCGGTCGTTGGTCATGGGGCAGAAAGTGTCCGGAGGCATGAAGCAGGTCGCAAGGGAACCCAATTTCAAGTCGCTGCACCGTGAGCTGACATACAGCGGGGATCTTCAGAAGCCAAACAGATTAGACATGTTGCTGGATATGCCAGCCGCGGACAAGGAGACACAGCAGAAATTTGCATGGAACGAGGAAGATCGCTCGTTGAATATATTTGTGAAGGACGATGATCCTCTAACCTTCCACAGACACCCTGTCGCACAGAGCACGGACTGTATACGCGGGAAATTTGGTTTCTCGAGGGGACTGCACGTATTTGAAGTAACATGGAACTCTAGGCAGAGGGGAACGCACGCCGTGGTTGGATTCGCGACCGCAAACGCACCGCTTCACTGTGTCGGTTACCAATCGCTGGTCGGAAGCAACGCAGAGTCGTGGGGCTGGGACTTGGGACGTAAGAAGCTCTTCCACGACTCCAAGCACAAAACGGGACACCAATACCCACTTGCGGGACATTCAGACAACTTCAACGTACCAGACACCTTTCAAATGATCCTTGATATGGATGAAGGAACCCTCAGTTTTTCCGCTAACGATCAGTTTCTTGGGATTGCTTTCCGTGGACTCAAGGGCAAGAAGCTCTTCCCTATTGTCAGTGCAGTCTGGGGACATTGTGAAATCACTCTCAAATATGTTGGAGGCCTAGAACGTAAGTATTATTATCCACTCTTTCGTATCTGTTTGAAATTAATTGTCATGTGAAAGGGGTAAGTAGTCTTACAGAACAGTGGGACAAAGGATGGCAATGTGCACTGTTGAGTAATATCAGAGGAGAGAGAGCCAAAAATATTATCATGGTGAAAAAAAATTATCGGCCGGCTGCTATAGTCCTGTGCATTGCTGGCCTGCACTTCATTACACAATTTGCAGTGTATTTGCTCCCAATATTATTACATAACTTAAGATAGCTGTGACTTAGGCACTTTGCACATCTTATCGTTACCCCCTTCCCCATCTGCCCATTATCCTTTTATTCTTAGTTCCATAACACCCCTATCGCAACCCCCCCCCCCCCCCACCCCAAAGGCCCCCTCTCCTCGTAGCCCCCCTCTGTCAGCGCGATCCCCAAATACATATCTGGCAGGAATCCAGCCATTCAGCTAAAAATCTGCCAATGTTTGTCATGATTCGATGGATATAGGATGTAAACACGAACCGATCCACATCACATCCTGCTCCTTAATACCCCCCAATTGTTTTTTTGACTCCGACGGCTTACCCAGCAGCCAGCTATCATTATTATCAAATCAATTCTTTCCCAATAAACACGATACCAGACTTATACGTATTGTAGCATGATAAGAATTTCAGGACAGATTGGGGAATGAAGTTTAAGCTGTATACAACAAGGAAACATTTTCGATAGCTCTTATAAGCTTTGAACGAAGTCATAGTCATGCTGATAAGATCCCCTTGGCCTTTTGGCGTAAGCGGAGATAAGGCTGTCTAAAAGTCAATTTAAAAAGACGAACACGGAAGCAGGCATTTGCGAGGAATTAAGCGATCTATCCCTCTCTCTTGGAAAGAGAGTGCAAACCGAGTTCAAAATGAATGTTTAATGGTATCATTGTTTTGACAATGTGAGGAAATGAGCTGCACGTACATGTAGAGTGTACATGTACATGTACGTCTTTTATAGCAAAGGTCACTTGTTATTGAAAAACATATGTTCATTATGATTATCAGACAATTTAAGGAACATTATATGATTGAAGGCATTATTCAAAATTTCATAGCCTGCTAGTACACACTACAAACATGTAGCTACATGTACATGAACAGTGTACGCTGTTTGTAGACAGTTTTTTATGATGGATCCTTCATAAAAAAAAATACCCAGTAGATCTGTTTTAAGTTATGTACAGTAAAAGGATTACAACAAATCTTGTTTGTAGTTTGCATGCTGTTATACATTAAAGCTGACATGGCTATCCAGTGCTCACTAACTTGTGCTTGGTTGGCACTTACACATACATCGGCATGGGAACTTGACGTTTCCTCTCGGTAAAAAAACATGGTGAACTTACCCACAAAACCAGGTGTGGCAGTGATATGAATAACAAGAATTTTTGGAATATAGGATGGGAAGTGCATGTAGTTGAAAAAGCTGGCTTGCCTGACATGTACATATTGTACATTGTACCCTGTAGGCTTCATGTGCATATTTGATATGATTCAGATTAGGTATATTCTTTATTGGTTGTTATAGTGATAGATCTGTGATGCTACAGGTTATTTGGAGAGAGAGAGACTGACAGAGACAGATACATGTAGAGGGGGTGGAGAGGAAGACAGACATGAGACACAGTGACTTGACAAAGACTGTGGAGAGAAAGATAGAGAAAGGCGAACATACCGAGAAAGAGCATGGAAGAGACTGAAGAGAAAGAAAGAAAGAAAGAGGGAGGAGAAAGAAAGGGAAAGATACAGAAAGGAATAGACAGAAAAGAAATCTGGCGAGAGCCCATGCTTTTAGAAACGGGCTGACTGACAGTTTGACGGTTGATCGGGGCTCCGATATCTGGTCACCACACCGGGTGTTATCCTCATTCGTTTCCCCCTCATGGCTATTTTGGGTGACACTCGAGGAGTGAGTCAGCGCCCACACATGAAATTTTTAAAAAGGTGGACTAATAGAAGCAAGGGAACGCTCTTCCCTCCCGTCCCCATTTTGCGGCCGCCATGGCCCCCTACACTAGGATGATGCCCCAGTTGAGAGTATCTTGTTTCATCCCTGAAAGCATAAAATTCACTGTTCATGTACAATGTAGTGATGTACAAGCATACTTCAGTATTCCACCGTCAACTAACCCAAATAGTGTACACTGCCATTGGAAATGACATGACTTCCTAACACTCTTATTCATTTAAGGGGGTAACACTGGAACTAATTGGAAAGTATAAATGTCTCTTTATGGAAAATTTTGTATTGATGGTCATTCACTCTCGGACCTACATGTATTAGCATTGTTCCCTATTCTATAAAGTATTTTTTTTCTTCTGTTCTTCTCCCCTAAGAAATGTATGTTGAATTTCAAAATATGACACGATTGATTCATAATATTTTTAGTGCTTGATATTATTTATTTTCACGTGAATATATCTTTTTAAGGATAGTGTTAAAATACTATACCAGAAAGATTCCCAGACTAGTACAGAGCAAAATATGTCAAGAGATAATGTTCATATACTGTACTTGTAATTTATAACTGATTATTTGTTAGTTATTTTCTGTTTGATTCGATAGTATGTCAACTTGTGTTTATTCCTTTTTTCTTTTCTTTTGTACAGCTTCACCGCTTCCACTACAGGATCTGTGCAGACGCTGTGTCCGTGTCTCAGTTGGGAAAGATCACCTGGAAAACGTCTACCAACTGCCCCTACCTAACATGGTGAAAAAATACCTCCTCTTTCAGTGAAAGGACACAGATTGACAAAAATAACAACTCTAAAATCAGATCCAATCCGTCCTGGGTGACTTCTCTGTGTTTTTACGTAAGAAATCATAGCCGACGAATTGGCTTTTTTTATATAACACGGTTGATGTTGACCAAATTATGTGTTTTCTCCTCGTCGACCAACTGCAAGGGAGAGAAGACGCCACTGTCGTGAGACTACGAGAGGGGGCTGTTCGCGATTTTTGTTGTGGACGTAACTCAAGGGACGTTTGTTCGATGCGAGGATTATCGCTGTTTTTATTTATTACCAAGAGAACAACTGCCATCTTGTGCCAATCTGTGCCTCATGAAGTTTGATTCAGGGTCTGCGAACATGCCGATGAACCACCGCCGTTGTCGTTCCTCCGTTGTCGTTTCTCCGTCGCCTCTCAAAGATCTGTGACGTCTCCTGCTGTCGGGTGAAGACACGGGATCGCTATATCCCAGTGAAAGTGTGACGACTCTCACCGTTCAACCTAGCGATTCTTAGTGCAGGAGATGCTGACTGTCCACTCTGGGAACCTGTTGGGACTCCAATCAGATAGAGTCGGACAATCAATCACAGCGATCCGAGTCTCTCCTACGGTCATAGCAGTGTTGTATTGATAATCACTGAAATAACAAATGGGTACACGTATGCTTGTATGTGCAACGGAAACACGACCCCAAGAAGCTCCACAAGTCACGTTGCCCTTAGGAGAAACTCTGCATACATCGTACATATGATATTTATATATATCCAAACTGTCTGGAACTCATGTGAGAAGTCAGCAATCGTCTATGTAACTTATTTTCTGATGGAATATTATTGACGGGATGTCGAACGTAGAAGCATTTAACAGAAAAGTGCTGAGAAAGTGATCTGCAACTTGCTACCGAAAACTGCCCTAGATTCTGGCAATACACCCCCTAGTGTTGGGAGAGATGTTATCTTTCCTTTCATATTAGGAGGCAGAACATTACACATCTTTTAAAAACCTTTTTAACAGTCATCTCTACGGAACTTGATGCGAAGCCTGAATACGGTTTTAATTTCAAGATGTGTAAAACAAAAGTGTGTGATAGTTTTTGTGTTATTGTAATGTTGATAATTCGGCCCCCGTCTTTGAGGGCGCATGTAGGTCGGGTCGAAAAGTTTGTTACTGAAGAAGTCAAACAGTCGTATAACTTCTTCTGTTTGTGCCGTTACGAAATAAAAACTTACATTCTCAGATGAATTAAAAGCTTATTGCTTCCAAATTGCAGACCTTAACTAATTACCTCAATATTAAACATGGATATTTAGGATATAGTATTCAAGTGATATTGTTAGAAATGACCCAGTGAACATACAGAACAAACCATGCTCATATGCAATTCCTTTTTTTCTACTTTGATCCAAATTCCTTGTAAATTTCAAGATCATGAATTCTCCAAATGTTCATGTTGATTACAATCTGCATTATAAATGAAATGCTGCAATTCTCTATTTTACAATGTGCAACCTTTACCTTTGCCTACCATGTATGTGTGTTCTTTTACGCAAAATGAAAACAGAAAACCACTGTCAATGACAGGTCGTAGGGTACAGATACATATAGTTGTCGTTACGTTAGTCCTTCTAAATCATTATTCAAATATATATCAACTGAGAACAGTACTTTATGTATGTAAAGTGACGCAGGCATGGTCGGAACGAGCATGCCGTTACTTACTCGCTGGCAATTCCTGTAAATACAACACATTACCATGATGATTATGCCTTACTTTATTATACATTGTGTGACTGACGAATGTGCTGCATGATAACCGAAGAACCGTATATATTCTATAATTTCTATTCCACCAACGTAATAACTCCATGTTATGTTACCCAGATTATGTACTCCTAGATTAGTTCCCTCACGTAACTTCAGACAAAAATATATGTGTCCCCTTTAAAGACATCAGACAGGGGGTTTATATGCAAATTGTTGATTGACATTTTGACAAGTTGAAATAATCATCAAGGTAATTTTTAACAGTTTCGAAATTAGGGAGAGGAGCACAACTGCCCCTTCCCCCATTTTGAAACTCAGTTGGTATTTGTTCAGTCCATAACAAAGTAAAATTCCCACAAATTTATTTTGTGCGCAAACCCCCCCCCCCCCCCCCCCCCCTCACAAGATCCTGGATTCTACCAGGGGACCTTTCATATAATTAACAATGTGCCCCAAGAAGGAAGGGTGCCATGGGGTGCAAACAGTTTCCAAATCTCAACAACTATTGAGTGACAGTACATCAAAGTCGTCACTTTTTTCAAGAACTATTATTTCTGCTCTCAAACTGTATAATACCCCCTGATCCTTCAAGCAACAAGGGTATTGTCTTTAATACTTCATCTCATCAAGAAACACGTTTTAGTCGGTAGTTATTTTCTTTCGCTGTAATGTGTACATGTACATAAACAACAGACCATTCTGCCTTGGGTTTGGCTTCATCGGACAGCCGCGATGCAAATTTCTCTCAAGTCTCAATCCAAACTTTTATACTTTTTTTGTATGGATGTACAGTGTAAGACAGAATACTTTTGTTACAGTAGATAATACTGGAGTAGATGAATACATACTCTGCATATTTAAGTCATTACTTCTCTAGGTATTACGATGACAGTCTTCTCCCTCATCTTCTTCTTATGTTCCATCTCGTATATTTTGAAGCCTTTCAATGCTATTTATTGGACCGCTGGGTCTTTACATAACTCTGGCTGCTCTTTTTTTTAATGTATATTTTTCCTATTTTCATGTCAAATTTTGAATTGAAGACATAAATGGTGCTATAATACTCGTATCATTGATGTGTGGGATGGATGCTGTCGCCACGGTAACCAAATTTAACCGAACAGATGTGATTGCGTTCATGCGGTGCCACGCGACACAGTGCAATAGTTATGAATAGGAAAGTACAGGTACATGTTTCGTAACCAGATAGGTTATGATTGCTAGCAAAGCATTTAATCCAGATTTTTGAAAAAGTGCGCTGAGAATCATGAGGCCTCAACTCCTGAAATTCTGAGAGAGAAGAATGAAATGTTAAACGAATCATGATACGCGGGCTGATTTTAAATCTATGAATTTGAAATCAGTTGTAATTATCAGACATTTTTAATGGTTCTAATTAATGATTACTTGCCATAACAGAAACAGTGTTCCAGGGTTTTTTTAATATCTTTTTTATTTCGTTTTTTAAACATTTGTGTGTGGATATTTAAAAAGTAACATGGTTTTGTCTGTACCGCAAATATTTTTTCTTTTCTTGTGCATTGGGGCTCTTTACTAAAGCAATACTGCAAATGGCAGAGGAAAGAACTGTGTAAATTCAATTCTGTGTATCATTTAATGTTGATGTAATATTTTTTGTTGAAATACTGCAAGTGGTTTACAAAACTACATGTTTCGCAGGTGTGTCATGTGTAGGGGTATTGGTAGGGGTACAAGAGGGGGGAGCTTTCGCACCCTTTACATGTATCATACCAGATTTGTCTGTGTATACATGTATTAACCTCTTGTATAATGTATGGTATCACCCACGAAACCGATAAATTTGATGTACAATTTACATGGACACAGTTTTTCAATCCTCTGGTCCCATTGCAATTCTGCCCCATAACACATTATGAACGTTTCTTGTGAGTAAAGTATGTGTTCATCACTAATATATTGTTTCATGCTGCTCTTTGTCGATAACATACTTTATCAGGGCCTTGCATGTTTCAAATTTCTGATAATATTTTTTTTTCTGTCTCAAAGTATTATTTGGGTAACATTTATTAATATATTGTGTCTTTGGAATATGAAAGTTGTTTCTGCATTTGTGATGAAAGAATTTCCTGAAGAATTCCATCAGTCGGAAAATATGCCGCTATTTGTTCCTTTTTTATGTGTTACATGTTTTTAAGTTATTGATATGTGTTTTATATATATAAATGTATAAATATTATCATCATCGTCACAGAAATGATCATAACAATTGAGTCATCAATTTTGTCTGCATTTTCGTCGTTGTTGAAATAAATTAAAACTGTTTGAAATTTTGTGAATATATGAATACGGTCTATAAGAAGCTTTCTCCTTTGAACATCGTTTGTGGAGAGTAAGAGAGTTAGAAAAAGGTAGATGAGAGAGAGAGAGAGAAAAGAAGAAAAGTGTTTTAAAAAGAGGGATGGGGAAGGTCAAGAAAAGAGAAGATGTGACAAAGAAAAATGAAAGAGTGAGGAGAGAACGTAAGAAATACAAATGAATTTGAGAAAGAGTAAAGATAATGAGCGCAAACTTGCAATGTACAGAGATAGAGAGACTGAGAGAAAGAGTGAGAAGAGTATTTAGTATTAGAAATAGAAAGAGAGAGAGAGAGAGAGAAAAGTTTCATTGTTTGAAACGAGAGACAAGAGTGAAATTATACAAGAAGTAAACCTTAAAAATCTAGAATCTGTAATGACAGAATTATAATAAACAAATGAGAAATGGAGATCAAAATAACTGCAAAAATGTCACATACTAACTTCTGTTGCACCTTCTATACATAGTGCATACCCAAGGATACTATGGGGCTATAGATTTAACAGGTGGTGTTAATTTGATAATGGGTGACCAAAACGGGTGTGGGCAGGGAGGGGGGTAGGAGGAGGGGGACTGTGATTGAATCAGGGTGTCACACCCTTCGTACGTCCTCCTACCAATCAAACATTTTACACCTTGGTCACACCGACATTCGGTGATCCGACAAGCAACAGACTAGAAACAAACCAAACCAAAAACATAATCCAAACCCAGGCACTATGACATGTTCATGGCAAGGCATTAATTCATGTTTGCCACCCTTCACCCAGGTTTGTTAAATGGGTTCCTGGTAGGATGCTAAAGTTATTGTAGTTTGCTCAGGAATTTGAGCATCCATAATAACATGGTGCCTGGCTGGAATGCTCCCCAGGGAGTGGAGAATGTGCATACATTGTGTGTGGGGAAAGCCTGAATCCAATGACTGGTCCAGACTAGGGTAATAATCCCCCCCCCCCCCCCCCCCCCCCCGCCCACATTCTGTTAAAATAATGGTTTTAAAAAAATGGTAAATCACTGCATAGTTAAGACAGGCTAACTTTTAAAAGTTCTCTCAAATAGACTGGTTTACTACTACATATTGCATACTTTTTAAACAAAGTTTGTTCTTGACAACTTGAGAACTTTCCTTGAGGCTTACCCTACATAGCAACACGTTAAGTATGCAGACTGGATTCCAAGTATTGTTGATCATTCATTAATACCAGAAATAACTCGTCACTGGTTCCCCGGGAAAGATACATCCATAAACTTGACTCTTGACTTTATTTTCTTGAATGTAGTTGCGACAGTCGGTGCGTCTTCATCATCTCGAGATTGCCAAATAGCCCCCTATTTCTGATTTGGGAAATAATCCTGAAGTTACAAATCGCGTCTTCATTAGCTCGAGATTCAACCTCGAACCTTGAAACTCGACCTTGAGAAATTAGCTCTAGATATTTTGCTCAGCATTAGCGCATAGTGCGAGTCTTCAGTCTGGTGAAGACGCACCGGACAAATAGCTGGACATTTTGCCAAATAGTGGGATATTTTGCAAACTATCCCAAGATATATTGGGATGACAATCTCGACCAAATATCCCGCTACCGGTAATTGCTACTTCGATCTGATGAAGACGCAAATTAGCTGGATAGTTCAAATAGCTGGATATTTGGCAATCTTGAGATAGTGAAGACAGCCCTAATGTTCTCTACAGTATCGTAACCGCAAAGCAAGAATGAAATGAAACTTCCATCTGAATCTGAAACTTGCAATTCACACAGCGAGGTCATGGAAAAAAGTACTTTGAACCAATAGGCCCATTTACATTACAAAAAAATTAATTTGAAAAAACACTATTTTTTAAAGTACTGGAAATACCAATTAAAAAATAGTTGGTGTTTGTAAAAAAGAAATTTGTTGTTGTATGAGTAGTACCCATGCGTTAGCACAGAACGGTCATGCGTTTAATAAAAAAACTGGGAAAATTCACTGGTGTTTTGAGAGTTAACTTTTACACTGCAAAAACCAGAGGTGGGTTTTTTGAATTCCAGTTTTTCATTGTGTTTATGGTTAGTTGCCTAGCAACTTCTGCCAAAACCTTGAAATGTAGGAAAAAAAACGATTGTTTTTGGTTAGAGTGTGAATTCCCATATAATGAACGAAATTGTATTGTGCAAACTAGGTATCATCCGAAAGGCAGAAAAACAGTTACATGAATCAGCATGCAGTTTGTGATCAATATTGGTAGAGCAAATAACCATCAACTCAACAATGGGAGAAACATTGTGACCATTCACATAAATAGGATTTCATATAGTCGGACATCTGCACCAATTTTTTGTTAAAAAAGGTTATATTTCTATATACAGTGTTTATATACGTAGATAGACATCCATGTGGGGAAACACTTTTAATGTGGGTTTTAATTTGCTTCATGTTTTTTTGTTTTGTCTCATTACTTTTTCTTTATCTCTATTCAAATATGATTTTTTTTTTTTGCTTCATGTACCTTGCATCCTTCTATACCCCTCTCTCTCTCTCTCTCTCTCTCTATTTCCCTCTCGCCATGTCTATCTCCATCCATGTTTTTTCTTTTGATATCCGTCTCTTTATTCTAGTCTCTATTTTTCTCTTTATCTCTCTCTCTCTCCCCTCTCTCTCTCTCTCTCTCTCTCTCTCTCTCTCTCTCTATATATATATATATATTTCTATCTCTCTACTGTTTTTATCTCTCATTTTTTCTTTGTCCAACTCATTCTTTGTCCAAACACTCTCTCCTTCCTTTCTTCCTTCTCATCTTTTAATTCTCCACATGGGGATAACATTACATAACCGCTCCCCCCTTGTCCTGTACCCAGCTTAAAGTTTCAGCTCCTATAGCTAGTTAACAGTTACTTTTCCATTACAACGTCCATGGTCAAGTGGCTATCAATAAGACCATTCTTATTTCGATAACAAAAGGAATTAGAGGCACAAGTCCACATGCGCCAGATAGTTATAAGCAGATGTTACAAGGGTCTTCCATAATCTTCTTTTTAGAGGGAGTTCTTGAGGAAGGAAATCTCATCGCATTATTCTACAGTCAATTTTTTAAAGCTAATTTTTTTTTAAAGCTAATTTTAAGTCGAAAGTACCTTGACTTATCTCCATTGTGTAAAAAAGGCTGGAAGGATTTAGAAGATAAACAATAAAGAAAGAGGCACCATGAAAAAATATTTTTACATTAGTGGGAATTATATTGTAACATGCATGGGAAAGGAAGTACAGGTACGTAGAAAAAAAAATGAACATTTCAAATTGGTTGATGATAACAACTGATAGAAAGACAAGTTATATACAGTGCAGGGAGAATATTTAGATAATACTTGCCAAGTAAGCAAAATTTGTTCGGCTTTAGGGCTAGAAATTTATGTAGATGAGCCACAGCAGACCTAAGAAGTAAAACAATAATCATATATAGTCATGTTTTATCACTACTGATTTTGTAATATTTTATTTTAAAACATTTTGGCTTTGTCCTTGTCTATTTTGTCTCCTTTGTAGTCTAAGTTTGATAAATGAATTGATGTTAAACAAACAGAAATCACTGTGTTTCATATATTCTATTGAACCATCTAAAAACATCAATAAATATCAATAAATATAGGGCCTACATTCAAATACACAACACTTCAAACGCTTAGAGCCAAAAGGGTATGAACTCTATGTGATAAAGCGATAATGCGATGATGGGTCATTATTCTCTATCATGTCTTGAGATCGAGCTAGATAGGGAGTGAGTATATGTAAGTGGGTCCATGGTAAAAAGTAACGTCTTTCTGAATCTCAACCTTATTTACAATAATACATCAATGCTGTACGTTGTCCTAGCAATGTAGTTGGTAAAAGGATGATTACATTGCCTAAGTTGGCTACATGCAGTGCCCTTCTGCTGCTCAGGCAGAATAGTTGCCACAATGTTTCATGGTACTCAAAATGGTAGGAAAGCCCCTATCTGTAGTATGAATATGGACTATACTTGATAATATATTTACAGAACAAAAGCTATAATGTGGATGAAGAAATCTTTTACAAAAAATACAGGCAACCTATGATAAGGTAATTCATACAACAAAGCCACCTTGCTACCAGTAACAATGTAGACATCTTTTCTTCTGTTGTTCCACCACAAAGTAAAGACCAAGATCAAGACCCCTTTGTACCAGCCATGCCCCCCAGGGGTGCCTCAAAGCGCCTCTTTCTCACCCCCCTAAGATTAACCTTGTAAGAAGAACAGACAAAGGAGTCACCCTGAGGTTTAGCGGTCACACATCTTTATGAGGATGCTCTTTGTCTTCTTTAGTGACTCACAACAAAGACTATAAATAGGTCCAGGTCCCACTTGATGTGGACTAAATTGTTTTGCCACACTACCATCAAGTTTGAGCAAGACACAGG